GGGGGATAGAGAGACAGATTGAGAGACAGAGGGAGACAGAGAGAGACAGAGAGAGAAACAGAGAGACAGAGACAGACAGAGAGAGAGAGAGAGAGAGAGAGAGAAAGAGACAGACAGACAGACACACACACAGAGAGAGAGAGAGAGAGACATACACAGAGAGAGAGAGGCCCAGTCCATTTGGTGAGTTTCAGGCTAATGAGAGACCCTGTCTTCAAAAAACAATCTGGTAAGTGGGATCTGAGGAACAGCCAAGCAACAATGTCCTCTAGTGCCCACACACACAGAGAGAGACACCACACACACACACACACACACACACACACAAAGATAGGTTTGATGGCTCAGTGGTTAAGAGCACTGGCTGTTCTTACAGAGGATCTGGGTTTGGGTCTCAGCACCCACATGGTGGCTCACAACTGTCTGTCATGCCAGTCTCAGAGAATCTGAAACCCTCCCTCTTCTGGCCTGAGGGAAAGGCATGCACTACCACTGCCCATTCCACCCCCCCCCCCGTTTTTGACGGTGCTTCCATAGCCCAGTCTAGCCTTAAACTCACAAGAACCCTCTTGGCTCAGCCTCTCAAATGCTGGTGTCACAGGCAGCCCCTACTACCCTGGCTTTTCTTTCATGTCCATCAGCCTCTTGTGCCACGAAGTCTACCAGGCCACGTCCCTGTTTCCTGTCCTTCCGTGGCTCTACCAGAAGACAGGCAGGCAGAGCTGATGACTGCTTCCTCTGAGTCCCCAGTATCCATGCTCTCCCCTTCTGGTTAGGCCACATGGGCATCCCAGGATGAGCCATGCCCACACAAGCTGGGGTGACCTTGACCCTGCCTCCAGGAAGATGACTGGGGTCAAGAGCAGATGACTGGCTGCTCTTCCCAGAGGTCCTGAGTTCAATTCCCAGCACCCACACGGCAGCTCACAACTGTCTGTAACTCCAGTTCCAGGGGACCTGACACCCTCACACAGACAGGCATGCAGGCAAAACACCAATGTACATAAAATACAAATAAATTATTTTTTTAAATGGAGGAGATGAGCTGCCCACATTGATTTTAACTACCACTTATTTTGGCCAGACTTAGGAAATTTGAATAAGCTGTGTGAGCAAGCCAGGTGTTGGTGGCGCACGCCTTTAATCCCAGCGCTCGGGAGGCAGAGGCAGAACTCATGTCTGTGAGTTCAAGGCCAGCCTGGTCTCCAGAGTGAGTGCTCCAAAGCTACACAGAGAAACCCTGTCTCAAAAATAAATAAATAAATAAATAAATAAATAAATAATTGTGTGAGCAAAGTTACCCACTACAGGGGCTTGGGCTTAGTAAGAACT